ATACTGTAACATGCACCATGCTCACATACTTCCATGTTACTGGCAGGCAGGCAGGCAGGCAGGCAGGCAGGCAGGCAGGCAGGCAGGCAGGCAGGCAGGCAGTCATACTGTAACATGCACCATGCTCACATACTTCCATGTTACTGGCAGGCAGGCAGGCAGTCATACTGTAACATGCACCATGCTCACATACTTCCATGTTACTGGCAGGCAGGCAGGCAGGCAGGCAGGCAGGCAGTCATACTGTAACATGCACCATGCTCACATACTTCCATGTTACTGGCAGGCAGGCAGTCATACTGTAACATGCACCATGCTCACATACTTCCATGTTACTGGCAGGCAGGCAGTCATACTGTAACATGCACCATGCTCACATACTTCCATGTTACTGGCAGGCAGGCAGGCAGGCAGGCAGGCAGGCAGGCAGGCAGGCAGGCAGTCATACTGTAACATGCACCATGCTCACATACTTCCATGTTACTGGCAGGCAGGCAGGCAGTCATACTGTAACATGCACCATGCTCACTTACTTCCATGTTACTGGCAGGCAGGCAGGCAGGCAGGCAGGCAGGCAGTCATACTGTAACATGCACCATGCTCACTTACTTCCATGTTACTGGCAGGCAGGCAGGCAGGCAGTCATACTGTAACATGCACCATGCTCACATACTTCCATGTACCTGGGCAGGCAGGCAGGCAGGCAGGCAGGCAGGCAGGCAGGCAGGCAGACAGGCAGTCATACTGTAACATGCACCATGCTCACTTACTTCCATGTTACTGGCAGGCAGGCAGGCAGGCAGGCAGGCAGGCAGGCAGGCAGGCATGCAGGCAGGCAGGCAGGAAGGCAGGCAGGCAGGCAGTCATACTGTAACATGCACCATGCTCACTTACTTCCATGTTACTGGCAGGCAGGCAGGCAGGCAGGCAGGCAGGCAGGCAGGCAGGCAGGCAGGCAGGCAGGCAGTCATACTGTAACATGCACCATGCTCACTTTCTTCCATGTTACTGGCAGGCAGGCAGGCAGGCAGGCAGGCAGGCAGGCAGGCAGTCATACTGTAACATGCACCATGCTCACTTACTTCCATGTTACTGGCAGGCAGGCAGGCAGGCAGGCAGGCAGGCAGTCATACTGTAACATGCACCATGCTCACATACTTCCATGTTACTGGCAGGCAGGTAGGCAGGCAGGCAGGCAGGCAGGCAGGCAGTCATACTGTAACATGCACCATGCTCACATACTTCCATGTTACTGGCAGGCAGGCAGGCAGGCAGGCAGTCATACTGTAACATGCACCATGCTCACTTACTTCCATGTTACTGGCAGGCAGGCAGGCAGGCAGGCAGGCAGGCAGGCAGGCAGGCAGGCAGGCAGTCATACTGTAACATGCACCATGCTCACTTACTTCCATGTTACTGGCAGGCAGGCAGGCAGGCATTCAGGCAGGCAGGCAGTCATACTGTAACATGCACCATGGTCACATACTTCCATGTTACTGGCAGGCAGGCAGGCAGGCAGGCAGGCAGGCAGTCATACTGTAACATGCACCATGCTCACTTACTTCCATGTTACTGGCAGGCAGGCAGGCAGGCAGGCAGGCAGGCAGGCAGGCAGGCAGTCATACTGTAACATGCACCATGCTCACTTACTTCCATGTTACTGGCAGGCAGGCAGGCAGGCAGGCAGGCAGGCAGGCAGACAGTCATACTGTAACATGCACCATGCTCACATACTTCCATGTTACTGGCAGGCAGGCAGGCAGACAGGCAGTCAGGCAGGCAGGCAGGCAGGCAGGCAGGCAGGCAGTCATACTGTAACATGCACCATGCTCACATACTTCCATGTTACTGGCAGGCAGGCAGGCAGACAGGCAGGCAGGCAGGCAGGCAGTCATACTGTAACATGCACCATGCTCACTTACTTCCATGTTACTGGCAGGCAGGCAGGCAGGCAGGCAGGCAGGCAGGCAGTGCATGGCAGGCAGGCAGGCAGGCAGTCATACTGTAACATGCACCATGCTCACTTACTTCCATGTTACTGGCAGGCAGGCGCAGGCAGGCAGGGCAGGCAGGCAGGCAGGCAGGCAGGCAGGCAGGCAGGCAGGCAGACAGTCATACTGTAAACATGCACCATGCTCACTTACTTCCATGTTACTGGCAGGCAGGCAGGCAGGCAGGCAGGCAGGCAGGCAGGCAGTCATACTGTAAACATGCACCATGCTCACTTTACTTCCATGTTACTGGCAGGCAAGGCAGGCATGGCAGGGCAGGCAGGCAGTCATACTGTAACATGCACCATGCTCACTTACTTCCATGTTACTGGCAGGCAGGCAGGCAGGCAGGCAGGCAGGCAGGCAGGCAGGCAGGCAGGCAGGCAGGCAGGCAGTCATACTGTAACATGCACCATGCTCACTTACTTCCATGTTACTGGCAGGCAGGCAGGCAGGCAGGCAGGCAGGCAGGCAGGCAGGCAGGCAGGCAGGCAGGCAGTCATACTGTAACATCACCATGCTCACTTACTTCCATGTTACTGGCAGGCAGGCAGGCAGGCAGGCAGGCAGGCAGGCAGGCAGGCAGGCAGGCAGGCAGGCAGGCAGGCAGTCATACTGTAACATGCACCATGCTCACTTACTTCCATGTTACTGGCAGGCAGGCAGGCAGGCAGGCAGGCAGGCAGGCAGGCAGTCATACTGTAACATGCACCATGCTCACTTACTTCCATGTTACTGGCAGGCAGGCAGGCAGGCAGGCAGGCAGGCAGTCATACTGTAACATGCACCATGCTCACTTACTTCCATGTTACTGGCAGGCAGGCAGGCAGGCAGGCAGGCAGGCAGGCAGGCAGGCAGGCAGGCAGGCAGGCAGGCAGTCATACTGTAACATGCACCATGCTCACTTACTTCCATGTTACTGGCAGGCAGGCAGGCAGGCAGGCAGGCAGGCAGGCAGGCAGGCAGGCAGGCAGGCAGGCAGTCATACTGTAACATGCACCATGCTCACTTACTTCCATGTTACTGGCAGGCAGGCAGGCAGGCAGGCAGGCAGGCAGTCATACTGTAACATGCACCATGCTCACTTACTTCCATGTTACTGGCAGGCAGGCAGGCAGGCAGGCAGGCAGGCAGGCAGGCAGGCAGGCAGGCAGGCAGGCAGGCAGTCATACTGTAACATGCACCATGCTCACTTACTTCCATGTTACTGGCAGGCAGGCAGGCAGGCAGGCAGGCAGGCAGGCAGGCAGTCATACTGTAACATGCACCATGCTCACTTACTTCCATGTTACTGGCAGGCAGGCAGGCAGGCAGGCAGGCAGGCAGGCAGGCAGGCAGGCAGGCAGGCAGGCAGGCAGTTCATACTGTAACATGCACCATGCTCACTTACTTCCATGTTACTGGCAGGCAGGCAGGCAGGCAGGCAGGCAGGCAGGCAGGCAGTCATACTGTAACATGCACCATGCTCACTTACTTCCATGTTACTGGCAGGCAGGCAGGCAGGCAGGCAGGCAGGCAAGGCAGGCAGGCAGGCAGGCAGGCAGGCAGGCAGTCATACTTTAACATGCACCATGCTCACTTACTTCCATGTTACTGGCAGGCAGGCAGGCAGGCAGGCAGGCAGGCAGGCAGGCAGGCAGTCATACTGTAACATGCACCATGCTCACTTACTTCCATGTTACTGGCAGGCAGGCAGGCAGGCAGGCAGTCATACTGTAACATGCACCATGCTCACTTATTCCATGTTACTGGCAGGCAGCAGGCAGGCAGGCAGGCAGTCAGTCTACTGTAACATGCACCATGCTCACTTACTTCCATGTTACTGGCAGGCAGGCAGGCAGGCAGGCAGGCAGGCAGGCAGGCAGGCAGGCAGGCAGGCAGGCAGGCAGGCAGGCAGGCAGTCATACTGTAACATGCACCATGCTCACTTACTTCCATGTTACTGGCAGGCAGGCAGGCAGTCATACTGTAACATGCACCATGCTCACTTACTTCCATGTTACTGGCAGGCAGGCAGGCAGGCAGGCAGGCAGGCAGTCATACTGTAACATGCACCATGCTCACTTACTTCCATGTTACTGGCAGGCAGGCAGGCAGTCATACTGTAACATGCACCATGCTCACTTACTTCCATGTTACTGGCAGGCAGGCAGGCAGGCAGGCAGGCAGGCAGTCATACTGTAACATGCACCATGCTCACTTACTTCCATGTTACTGGCAGGCAGGCAGGCAGGCAGGCAGGCAGGCAGTCATACTGTAACATGCACCATGCTCACTTACTTCCATGTTACTGGCAGGCAGGCAGGCAGGCAGGCAGTCATACTGTAACATGCACCATGCTCACTTACTTCCATGTTACTGGCAGGCAGGCAGGCAGGCAGGCAGTCATACTGTAACATGCACCATGCTCACTTACTTCCATGTTACTGGCAGGCAGGCAGGCAGGCAGGCAGGCAGGCAGTCATACTGTAACATGCACCATGCTCACTTACTTCCATGTTACTGGCAGGCAGGCAGGCAGGCAGGCAGTCATACTGTAACATGCACCATGCTCACTTACTTCCATGTTACTGGCAGGCAGGCAGGCAGTCATACTGTAACATGCACCATGCTCACTTACTTCCATGTTACTGGCAGGCAGGCAGGCAGTCATACTGTAACATGCACCATGCTCACTTACTTCCATGTTACTGGCAGGCAGGCAGGCAGTCATACTGTAACATGCACCATGCTCACTTACTTCCATGTTACTGGCAGGCAGGCAGGCAGTCATACTGTAACATGCACCATGCTCACTTACTTCCATGTTACTGGCAGGCAGGCAGGCAGGCAGGCAGGCATACTGTAACATGCACCATGCTCACTTACTTCCATGTTACTGGCAGGCAGGCAGGCAGGCAGGCAGGCATACTGTAACATGCACCATGCTCACTTACTTCCATGTTACTGGCAGGCAGGCAGGCATACTGTAACATGCACCATGCTCACTTACTTCCATGTTACTGGCAGGGACCTGGAGAACAACAGGATACGCAGGGTCAGAAGTCGTTTCATCAACATCACAGCTGAACAACTGTGAGTAACACTCATCTGTATCCTCATACTCATCTTATACTCGTTCCCTTAATTTCTGTTCACTCATTATTTACACTTATTTCTGCTTATCTCCTTGTCCAAAATAAATAAAAAGAGTATAAATATGCTAACTCTGTTTATCACTATTATTAATTTTGTCTAATTATTGTTCATTTGAGAGGAAATCAGTTTTTATTTTTTATATTTCTTTAATGAAAGAAGGAGGGGGGGGGGGGGGGGGGGAGGGGAGGGAGGGGGGGGGAGGGGGAGGGGAGCTTGAGGCTCTGTTATTCCTGATTCATATAACTGCAGCTACCCTTCCCTTCCTCGAGTTACCCTTCCCTTCCTCGAGTTACCCTTCCCTTCCTCGAGTTACCCTTCCCTTCCTCGAGTTACCCTTCCCTTCCTCGAGTTACCCTTCCCTTCCTCGAGTTACCCTTCCCTTCCTCGAGTTACCCTTCCCTTCCTCGAGTTACCCTTCCCTTCCTCGAGTTACCCTTCCCTTCCTCGAGTTACCCTTCCCTTCCTCGAGTTACCCTTCCCTTCCTCGAGTTACCCTTCTCTTCCTCGAGTTACCCTTCTCTTCCATGCACTATTCCTTTTGCATGCATGTACGTAGGTAGAATAGGCTGAGCTTATAAGATTCCTGGGGTACCTTTCTCGGATCTTTTAGGTAGAAGAGGCTGGGCTTATAGGATACCGGGGATAACTTTCTAGGATCTAGTTATGAAGATAGAAAGCTCATTGATACTCACAAAGCAGATAAAAGGACACTTCGGGCATCTGTATCTTAAAGGTTTGTGTCCCGGAAGCTTGTTTATTAAAATGAACAAGTTGCCAGCACCGTATTGTATCCAGTAAACGTATATGTATCTTGTCATCTACATCTAGTTATGTACTATGTATCTTGTCATCTACATCTAGTTATGTACTATGTATCTTGTCATCTACATCTAGTTATGTACTATGTATCTTGTCATCTACATCTAGTTATGTACTATGTATCTTGTCATCTACATCTAGTTATGTACTATGTATCTTGTCATCTACATCTAGTTATGTACTATGTATCTTGTCATCTACATCTAGTTATGTACTATGTATCTTGTCATCTACATCTAGTTATGTACTATGTATTTGTCATCTACATCTAGTTTGTACTATTATCTTGTCATCTACATCTAGTTATGTACTATGTATCTTGTCATCTACATCTAGTTATGTACTATGTATCTTGTCATCTACATCTAGTTATGTACTATGTATCTTGTCATCTACATCTAGTTATGTACTATGTATCTTGTCATCTACATCTAGTTATGTACTATGTATCTTGTCATCTACATCTAGTTATGTACTATGTATCTTGTCATCTACATCTAGTTATGTACATTTAGAACATTAATATTCTAGTGACTAGTGGTGTGGTGTCTTCCACAGATTGCTAGATAATAATGTGATCCACACAGTGGAGGAGAGAGCCTTCCAGGGCTCACAGATCGGCAAGTTGTGAGTAACATCATTGTTGGCTGCCACTCTTAATTATTATATACCTCACATCAATATTTAATCTCTTACACTTATAGGTAGTATTAATATTAACTGGTATGAGTAAAAGCAATTGAAGAATTTTCCAAGTATTTTCACTTATACAGTTTGCACTTTTCCTCATAATTCTTTGCGCTCATATACTTGAATATAAGTTAAAGCGGCTTTATTTTCCTTTATATTAAAGAGTCATGCTGAGTAGACTGAGATATGTTATTATTTATGAGTCAGCAGAGACACTGTCATATACGGTGACTCTTGTTGACTCTTGTTGGCTCGTGTTGGCTCTTGTTGGCTCTTGTTCTATCAACATAGTTAAGGTTTATAATGACACATTTTAACCTTTGTACAGAAATACAACATTGTTTTTTATCTTTCATTAACAGTTCTGAGAAACTTTTACATGGAACTTGAACACAAGTGGAAAGTGGTAATAATTCTTAAACAAAATGAACTTTCAGATGTCACGTTAATGTTTGAATTATTTCTCAAATAATAATACTTAAGTAACTACTGGAACACTTATCATTATTCTCCCACCAATAATAATACTTAAGTAACTACTGGAACACTTATCATTATTCTCCCACCAATAATAATACTTAAGTAACTACTGGAACACTTATCATTATTCTCCCACCAATAATAATACTTAAGTAACTACTGGAACACTTATCATTATTCTCCCACCAATAATAATACTTAAGTAACTACTGGAACACTTATCATTATTCTCCCACCATTAGTAATACATAAGTAACTACTGGAACACTTATCATTATTCTACCACCAATAATAATACTTAAGTAACTACTGGAACACTTGTATAAGTAACTACTGGAACACTTGTATAAGTAACTACTGGAACACTTGTATAAGTAACTACTGGAACACTTGTTTAAGTAACTACTGGAACACTTGTATAAGTAACTACTGGAACACTTGTATAAGTAACTACTAAAACACTTATAAGCCTCAAACTAATTTTTATTAAAATTCTTCAGTGAATTTCTTATCACAAAATTTTAAGCTTTCTGCTTATACTTGACAAGGGAAGAACAGCACTTCACTACTATGGTACAGCTGAGGAAGTTAGCTGAGGAAGTTAGCTGAGGAAGTTAGCTGAGGAAGTTAGCTGAGGAAGTTAGCTGAGGAAGTTAGCTGAGGAAGTTAGCTGAGGAAGCTAGCTGAGGAAGTTAGCTGAGGAAGTTAGCTGAGGAAGTTAACTGAGGAAGCTAGCTGAGGAAGCTAGCTGAGGAAGTTAGCTGAGGAAGTTAGATGAGGAAGTTAGCTGAGAAAGTTAGCTGAGGAAGCTAGCTGAGGAAGTTAGCTGAAGAAATTAACTGAGGAATTTAGATGAGGAAGCTAGCTGAGGAAGTTAGCTGAGGAAGTTAGCTGAGGAAGTTAACCGAGGAAGTTAGCTGAGGAAGCTAGCTGAGGAAGTTAGATGAGGAAGTTAGATGAGGAAGCTAGCTGAGGAAGTTAGCTGAGGAAGCTAGCTGAGGAAGTTAGCTGAGGAAGTTAGCTGAGGAAGTTAGATGAGAAAGCTAGCTGAGGAAGTTAGCTGAGAAAGTTAGCTGAGGAAGCTAGCTGAGGAAGTTAGCTGAGGAAGTTAGCTGAGGAAGTTAGCTGAGAAAGTTAGCTGAGGAAGCTAGCTGAGGAAGTTAGCTGAGGAAGTTAGATGAGGAAGCTAGCTGAGGAAGTTAGCTGAGGAAGCTAGCTGAGGAAGTTAGCTGAGGAAGTTAGCTGAGGAAGTTAGATGAGGAAGCTAGCTGAGGAAGTTAGCTGAGGAAGCTAGCTGAGGAAGTTAGCTGAGGAAGTTAGCTGAGGAAGTTAGCTGAGGAAGTTAGCTGAGGAAGTTAGCTGAGGAAGTTGGTATGTGCACCCTGGCTGGCTGAGGTAGTATGTGCACCCTGGCTGGCTGAGGTAGCATGTGCACCCTGGCTGGCTGAGGTAGTATGTGCACCCTGGCTGGCTGAGGTAGCATGTGCACCCTGGCTAGCTGAGGTAGTATGTGCACCCTGGCTGGCTGAGGTAGCATGTGTACCCTGGCTGGCTGAGGTAGTATGTGCACTCTGGCTGGCTGAGGTAGTATGTGCACCCTGGCTGGCTGAGGTAGTATGTGCACCCTGGCTGGCTGAGGTAGCGTGTGCACCCTGGCTGGCTGAGGTAGCATGTGCACCCTGGCTGGCTGAGGTAGCATGTGCACCCTGGCTAGCTGAGGTAGCATGTGCACCCTGGCTGGCTGAGGTAGCATGTGCACCCTGGCTGGCTGAAGTAGCATGTGCACCCTGGTTGGCTGAGGTAGCATGTGCACCCTGGCTGACTGAGGTAGTATGTGCACCCTGGCTAGCTGCGGTAGCATGTGCACCCTAGGTAACTGAGGTAACATGTGCACCCTGGCTAGCTGAGGTAGCATATGCACCCTAGCTAGCTGAGGTAGCATGTGCACCCTGGCTGGCTGAGGTAGCATGTGCACCCTGGCTCGCTGAGGTAGCATGTGCACCCTAGCTAACTGAGGTAGCATGTGCACCCTGGCTAGCTGAGGTAGCATGTGCACCCTAGGTAACTGAGGTAGCATGTGCACCCTGGCTGGCTGAGGTAGCATGTGCACCCTGGCTAGCTGAGGTAGCATGTCCACCCTGGCTAGCTGAGGTAGCATGTGCACCCTGGCTGGCTGAGGTAGCATGTGCACCCTAGCTAGCTGAGGTAGCATGTGTACCTTGGCTAGCTGAGGTAACATGTGCACCCTGGCTGGCTGAGGTAGCATGTGCACCTTGGCTGGCTGAAGCAGCATGTGTACCTTGGCTAGCTGAGGTAACATGTGCACCCTGGCTGGCTGAGGTAGCATGTGCACCCTGGCTGGCTGAGGTAGCATGTGCACCTTGGCTGGCTGAAGCAGCATGTGTACCTTGGCTAGCTGAGGTAGCATGTTCACCCTAAGTAGTTGAGGTAGTATGTGCACCCTAGCTGGCTGAGGATGTGGGTCAAACTAGAGATAAAAGCTAAAGATTGAAGCCTGCTCCTTCGAGCTGGGGATTACTGCATTGTGAGCTTTGGAAATAAGACCCATAGCAGTGACTATTTTAACCTGTCGTGTCTGTCAGTGATTGTTGACATTTGTCATGAATACCAGCCATGGTTTGAACCTATTGTCTTCGCCTTATATAAACTAAAACCACAATATCATCACAAACACCACTAAAACCACAATATCATCACAAACACCACTAAAACCACAATATCATCACAAACACCACTAAAACCACAATATCATCACAAACACCACTAAAACCACAATATCATCACAAACACCACTAAAACCACAATATCATCACAAACACCACTAAAACCACAATATCATCACAAACACCACAATATTTTTGTTGTTAACGTCACAATATTACTACAACCAAAAACTACACTGTGAATGTTATGGTGAGTACCCGAGTACATTATTTCAGGAGCATGAAGGGAAATCCAGGACTGACTGATCTTCACCCTCTGGCCTTCCAAGGCTTGAGAAGCCTTGTCAGCTTGTAAGTAATTATAGTGTTAAGTGTAATACACAAACACTGACACATCAGCAGTCTGACAAGTTTCCTGTATGCAACGTTTAACATTACATTCTTCCTTGACTTGAGATTCTAACTATTCTATACGAATCTTTTCAAATAATTAATGACGGTTTCTATATATTATTTACATACCTCACAAATAAACCGCACGCTTGAGACACAAACTTATAACGATGTTTCGGTCCCACTTTGAGCAATTAATGGTCCAAGTCGGACCTAAATGTCGTCATAAGTTTCAGTCTTATCTACGAGTTATTTGTGTATTGTTCCAGTTATGGTGATGTTTTTTGTTTCTTATTAGCATATTACACTAAATTGTGACTACAGTACTTGTGTGTGTATGTGTGTGTGTGGGGTGTGTTGTGTGTTTGTGTGTGTTATTGTGTGTTGTGGGGTATGGGTTTTTATGTGTGGTGTGTGTGTGTGGGGTATGTGTGGGTTGTTGTGTGTGTATGTGGGTGTGTGTTTGTGTGTGGGGTGGTGTGGGTGAAAGGGTGTTGTTTGTGTGTGTGTTTTGTGTGTGTGTGTGTGTGTGTGTGTAATCACCTTTTTTGTACTCACCTATTTTGGGGTTTTCCCGGGGTCAGCCCTTAAGCTCCGGGCCCCGCCTCTTCCCCGGGTTGCTACGGGGCCCCTCTCTCCCCGTTTTCCATGAGTTTTAACCCAAACCCGTTTTAAAACTGTGTAGGGTTCCTTCCTGCCTCCACTACGTCTTTTTTCTGGGCCCTTATTCCACCCCTTAAAAATCTAGACTAAAGAAATATTTCCCTAATACCCTCTCTGACTCATTTGTGTCTTCAATTTCCCAATTGTGGCCTCTTTTTTTCGGGTGTCCCCCTCCCGGGAAACACCTTTCTTTGCCCAAACCTTTTGCTTTTCCCCGCAAAATTTTTATGTCGTTTTTCCATGTCTCCCCTGACCCCCCTGTCCTCCAGTGTCCGTCGGGCCGTTTTCCCTAATCTTTTCTTCATGGAAACACCCCCCTTACTCGGAACAACCCTTTCCCCCGAAAACCTTTGTACTTTCCCTAGTTTCTTGACGTGCTTTTTTATAAAGTGGGGGTTCCAAACAGGGCTGCATACCCCCCAGTATGGGCCTGACATACACGGTGGGACAGTGTCCCTTGAACGATTCCTTACTAAGGTATCGGAATGCTGTTCTCAGGTTTGCCAGGCGCCCATATGCTGCAGCAGTTATCTGGTTGATGTGTGCTTCCGGAGACATGCTCGGTGTTATACTCACCCCAAGATCTTTCTCCTTGAGTGAGGTTTTGCAGTCTTTGCCACCTAGCCTATACTCGGTCTGTGGTCTTCTGTGCCCTTCCCCTATCTTCATGACTTTGCATTTGGCAGGATTAAACTCGAGAAGCCATTTGCTGGACCAGGTGTCCAGTCTGTCCAGGTCTCTTTGAAGTCCTGCCTGGTCCTCATCAGATTTAATTCTCCTCATTAACTTCACATCATCTGCAAACAGGGACACTTCTGAGTCTAACCCTTCCATCATGTCGTTCACATATACCAAAAATAGCACTGGTCCTAGGACCGACCCCTGTGGGACCCCGCTCGTCACAGGTGCCCACTGTGATACATCATTACGTACCATGATTCGTTGTTGTCTCCCTGTCAGGTATTCTCTCGTCCATTGCAGTGCCCTTCCTGTTATATGCGCCTGATGCTCTAGCTTCTGCACTAATCTCTTGTGAGGAACTGTGTCAAAGGCCTTCTTGCAGTCCAAGAAGATGCAATCAACCCACCCCTCTCTCTCGTGTCTTACTTCTGTTATTTTATCATAAAACTCCAGAAGGTTTGTGACACAGGATTTGCCTTCCATGAATCCGTGCTGGTTGGCATTTATACTCTTGTTCCGTTCCAGGTGCTCCACCACTCTCCTCCTGATAATCTTCTCCATAATTTTGCATACTATACACGTCAATGACACAGGTCTATAGTTTAGTGCCTCTTTTCTGTCTCCTTTTTTAAAAATGGGAACTACATTTGCCGTCTTCCATACCTCAGGTAGTTGCCCAGTTTCCAGGGACGTGTTGAAGATTGTGGTAAGTGGCACGCA